CCGGCAGTGGCAGTAACTAGTACTGGCAGTGGCAGTGACTAGTACTGGCAGTGGCAGTGACTAGTACCGGCAGTGGCAGTGACTAGTACCGGCAGTGGCAGTGACTAGTACTGGCAGTGGCAGTGACTAGTACCGGCAGTGGCAGTGACTAGTACTGGCAGTGGCTGTAACTAGCACTAGTGACCGTGACCTAGCAGCAGAGCGTCAAGGTGTCTCCCGCTGTCGTTCACTCGCGTACCCGTGACCTCGTCACTGACCCGCCACCCTCCCTCTGCACACTCACTCACCCGCCACCCTCCCTCTGCACACTCACTCACCCGCCACCCTCCCTCTGCACACTCACTCACCCACCGCCCTCTCTCCGCACACTCTCACTCACCCGCCACCCTCCCTCTGCACACTTTCACTCACCCGCCACCCTCCCTCTGCACACTCTTACTCACCCGCCACCCTCCCTCTGCATACTCACTCACCCGCCGCCCTCCCTCTGCACACTCACTCACCCGCCGCCCTCCCTCCGCACACTCACTCACCCGCCGCCCTCCCTCTGCACACTCTCACTCACCCGCCACCCTCCCTCCGCACACTCTCACTCACCCGCCGCCCTCCCTCTCTGTCCCCAGGTGCGTAACCACGATGCGACGTGGCATGACACAAAGCGTTCGCTGCGCAAGGACCACCGCTGGGAGATGGCTGCGCTGCTCGACAGCGAGGAGAAGGAGCGGCTCTTCAAGGAGCACGTAGACGCGCTCGTCAAGAAGAAGAAGGAGAAGTTCCACGAGCTGCTCGACGAAACTCCGGAGGTGAGCGGCAGTGCCACCTGGCGGGTATCGGTGTCCCCACGGGGAGGGGGGGGGTCGCGTCGCGCTGTTGTGAGACAGGAAAATGTTACGCATTTCTCAGTCGCTGTGTTAGCGAGCAGAACGGGGCAGGACTACTTTATGAGAATGGTGCAGGACTAACTTTATGAGAATGGTGCAGGACTAACTTTATGAGAATGGTGCAGGACTAACTTTATGAGAATAGTGCAGGGCTAACTTTATGAGAACGGTGCAGGACTAAATTTATGAGAACGGTGCAGGACTAATTTTATGGCACGTGGGCGTTGGGTGATAAGCTGGTTGGATCCACGTGGGGTAGTGCAGCGGATCTGCGTAGAGTAGAGATGGTCCGGGCGTTCGTTCGCTTCACACACGACTGCCCAGCGACTTGTCGTGGTAGAAGAGCAGTCGGATATTTGGTACGTGTTACGCATATCGTTGTGCTGCAGTTTTGTAGTTCCTCTTGCAGATCAAATTGACGTCGACGTGGAAGGAGATCAAGAAGATCATCAAAGAAGATGCACGTTGTCAGAAATTCTCGTCTAGTGATAGGGTAAGATTTGCTTAGTGCGCTCGTTATTCGTAAGAAATACAAAGGTGGGCACTCGTGCATAGACCTTACTGCATGAGAGGCTAGAAACAGTTGGCAAAAAGGCTCGGTTGTCAGCCAAATAAATGGTTATGACTATTAAAAGTCTAAAATATCATACCTTTTGCACGTAACCTGACAGCAAAGCTTATTGTTACGATGCTGTAACTATTCAGGATGTTTCTGACAGTGGACCCCCAATTTTCCACACCTACACCTGATACATGCGGTGTAATATGTGCGTAAAGGTGAAATAAAATAACAAATATAATGTAAAAATTTACGTGTAAGAATCAATACAATGAATAATTACGTGGAAATGTGTGATGAAACAACAAAACTTTGCCGTCGTTGGTTGCGCAGAAGCGTGAGAGAGAGTTCAACGACTACATTCGCGACAAGGTCGTCGCGGCGAAGGCAGACTTTCGTGAGCTGCTGAAGGAGACGAAGCTGGTCACATACAAGTCGAGGAAGGCGATCGAGGAGTCTGAACAGCATCTGCGAGACATCGAGAAAGTGTTGCAGGTGAAGCAGCGTGTTCGCTAACGACGCATCTTGTTGGCATTTATTTTCTGCCATTTATTTTCTTATTTGGCATATATTTTCTGACATCTTTCTATTGCACCCATTCTGCATACTAGACGGTCTACTTTATAGCCGACGGATGATGGCATTCGTTTCAGTGAATAAATTTATGATACGCTGCCATTATTTTCATTTCTACTTCTCTTACTTTTCCTAATTTATAAAAAGGACCACTTTCCATTCTTTATAATGTGTAAAAAGTCGGATTGTAATCGGGGCATGCCTCCAAACCCCCCTAACAGGAGAAACTGCTATGGAGGAAGTGTTCTGCCCTGCAAACAATAGTGAACGTAGATGATTTAAAAGACGAGTAGTGAGAAACACGAAAACCGACGCCAAAAAGATAAAAAATTAAGACATTTTTAGTCGACGTATGTTAATACGATACAATGTGCTACAGTAATGTAGTTCGGTCACAATGTGCACGTGTGATGAAGTGCAATGCAATCTCTTGTAGAACGACAAGCGCTACTTGGTTCTCGACTGCATTCCTGAGGAGAGACTGAAGATGCTGATGGCATATATCGATGACCTTGACCGCAAGGGTGTGCCGCCACCGCCGACGGCGTCCGAACCAAGTCGCAGAAGTACAAAGTGAATTGTCCGACACATCGCTGTTGATGGATGTTGATGTAGACGCAAGACTACTCTAATTTTGTGAAGACGAACTGGTTGCCATTCAGCAAGCCCGCTGGTCGTCATATGGTAGTCCCTCGCCACTGCCGCGCGCCGTGCCCGGTAGAAAGTACAACCAATCGAATGCTTTACATGTCGTGATTAGCATTTCAGCACGCACCCTGGCGAATGTAGTTCACACTTATCCACAGCACCCCCATGTCATTCGAAGTTGAAGTTCCCATTAATGCCGATGGAAAGTTGGCCTTAGTGTTGTGTGTAAGGTTGTATGCTTCTGTGACACCGACGGTACGTTCACTCTCTTCGTTCTATACTTTGATTTCTTGTGTGTACGATGGGAATTTTTAGGACATGCTGTTTATCAATGAGGATTTTTTTAACTAGTTTAAAGTTTTAGTTAGTTATCAAGGTCACTACTTTTTTACGGCATTGAGTGTTGGGAAGTTGCTTTCACATGTTATGGTAAACCATATTGCATACCTTGCTATGATATCACATTTACCTGGGTGATATATCTATCATACATAGTGTCAGCTTGTCTCACCTGTGAGTATGTGTTCTGTAAAGTGTTATTAGGATGCGATCTAAATTTACAGATAATAAATTGTGTGCACTTATGGTATTCCCTCTCAAACGACATGGAAAAATAATCACGAGCAAACGTAATTTTTTGTATTTCAACTGATGACAATAGACACGGTATGTTAAATGGAGGTTACTAAATTAAATAAAAGAATTCTGAGTATTCATGTACATACTTTTATTTTATTTATGTCAGTTTTATCTTTCCATACACTGTATGTGGCTTGGCTCTAATTCATACATATGCACGCACGCACGCACGCACGCACGCACTCACGGATGCACAGGATAATTCTAATCCTTTTAAGGGATTGCCTTTCTCGTGTTTCTTTTCATTAGGAAAATCTTCCAGCCGTGATATTATAAGTAATAATGGATTTGCAGGTCTAGCAGTGTCAGCGTTTAAAAAATAGCATTTTTGAATGCTAATCTATTCCTGTAGCAATCCTGGTACATATTGCTTGATCATTAGAACCGATCACGATATAATAAGATTTGAGTGTCATAGTTTCCAGTCCTCATATTTTCGATTTTCCATTTTCTTGGCTGGCGTATCATAAACAGTTTATTCTACTTTAAAATGCTGTAGCTTCATCTGCACTCTCTGCATGATCTCCATGGGACGTGGCTCAATGGCTCAAGTGTGCGAGCAAGCGTGCGTCCTACGTCCCGCCGAAGCCTGTCCCCCCACCACCGCATTACTCCCACCCCTTCCCGCCGCGGCGGCCGTCTGTTCCCATCATTCGCGGTGTGCCGCCGCCCTACGACCTCCCGCACCCCCCCGCGCGTCTCCTTCACAACTCTTGCGGGCTCGGACGCCGACCCGCTCACCGGTGCCGTTGCCTAGTCCGTGCTGGCTGTGTGTGGCGTTTGACATGCTCTGTCCGAGTGCGTGGGCTGTGTGTGTATGTACGTACCTATGCGTGAATGTACATGTGTGTGTGTGTGTAGTGTGTGTGTGGTGTGGCATTACTGTGGCTGTGTGCTGGTGTGTGCTGTGTGTGTGTGTGTGTGTGTGTGTGTGTGTGCCATCTATAGCGCACCTACCGGGTTTAGCATACTCATCTATCCAGCAAGGAAACATAACTTAATACTAGAGCACTCGGAGAGCACAGACCTCCGCAAGCAGCTGAATTCTCTCAATGTGAAATTTTTTATTAATTTAATTTAAGTTAATTAAGCTGTCGAAAATTAATTATTAATTGGATCCGGATTAGTGCGAGCGTGCAGGTGGTGGGATTACTGTGCGTTGCCTTAGCCATGTTTGAAAGTTCTAAGCGAGCGCACCTAGCGGGAAGTGAACTGAAACGTGCATAGTGAACACACACACACAACCAGACACTCAATTCAGACCCGGTGTGTACTACCTCCACACGCCCCTGGCGGAGGTAATAAACAGGCTGGGAAAATGCAGCTTATTTGTGCTTATTTTAGCTGGGAGTTTACCCTCCAGTGAACCCTTTTGTATACCATAAACACAGTAACGCGAGCGATTAGGAGTGGTCCAAGTAGACTTAGTTAGGTACGTACTTCCCAATTAAAATTGTCATGTCTCATCATATCAAACTACACGATCAGCCGAAATTCGATCGTTAAACTCCAGCACATTGGTTCCACAAAAGTGTGAATTTCTTTTCAAACCTTCAGGACATTTTTTTTTCCAAGTGCCAAGTCTCGTGACAATTAGTTTTAGCTTAGATCATCATCAGGATGTATACCTTAGATTTCATATATAAAAGTTAAAAATGTTGTTATGTATACGAGTGCCTGGGCAGCAGATTTACAACAGCCGCTTTAGCTCCCGCGTCCATTAACGACTTACACAATAGCGTTCTGTAATTGTCATTCAGTGAGATCTTCATGTGAGCGCGTCTTGTGACAAATATGTAAGCTTTGATATAACATGTATCACTCAGAACTATCGTATCACATTATGCTATCACTCTAGAAATGTTATTATTTTTAACTGCTCACACTATTGCCATTTATCATCTTTTTTACTCCATGAATTTTCTAGTACATGTATTTGCTAGAGTCGAATTACCATGCAAATAAGAATATTAAAATAAGAATAATCAATACATAGAATAATAATAAACAATTCGCCGTTCTTTATGCTGACCTTTCTTCTGCTTTGTCCCCCCACTCCCCCCCCCCCCCCTGGCAGTAACAATTAACACGCACATAAAACTTAATCATTTATTCCTTTACTCCCTCTCGCGGAGAGTATCGTCCATCGGATCAGTCGCACGTTGAAACAGTTTGCAGCCAAATGGCCGGGTTCTCATCCGAAACCTTTTTCACCCATCCAGGCACAAAACAGTCGGAATTTACGCCTGTATAATTACACGCGCACGGTGTCGACACACACGCGGTGCGCGTCCGTTAGCGTGTGTGTATGTGTGTTCGTTGCTGACTGTAAAAACGCGTGATTATAGCCCAGTATAATCACAAATTGTGGCATTGGGAGCGGGCTGAATAAGTGAGCTGAACACGCGCCATTTGCCTTGGCCTAACTTGTTGCACGGTGCAGTCATGATTGCCGTGGCGGATACTATCGCCGCGAGACGGGGAGGCGAAGGATGAGAGAGGAGGAGGCAAAGAAAGGAGGCGAGCGACGGAGCGGACGAAGAATACAGAGTAGATGTGCCCACGTATGCGCAGTACACGCGCAGACAAAACGCATCGTACCGCACAAAACGCCACACACACAGCACGGGTGATGACATATCCTTCTAATATAGTTATTTTTCTTGCCTTTTTTTCTCACCCCTCCATTCCCGTAACTCTCACCCTTCGCGCTCTCTCTCTCGCTCTCTCGTCCTCTCTCTCTCTCTCTCTCTCTCTCTCTCTCTCTCCTCTCTCTCTCTCTCTCTCCTCTTTCTCTCTCTCTTTCTTTCTTTCCTTTCTCTCTCTCTCTCTTTCTTTGTCTCTCTCTCCTCTCTATATATATATATATCTCTCTTCTCTCTCTCTCTCCTCTCTCTTCTCTCTCTCTCTTTTTTTCTCTCTCTATCTCTTCTCGCCTCTGTCTCTCCCTTCTCCCAATATTCCCTTTAGGTAGCCACGCACGCCACGACGCACGCACGCACGCACGCACGCACGCACGCACGCACGCCACGCACGCACACACACACCACACACACACACACACAAACACTCTCTCTCGCTCTCTCCTCTCTCTCTCTTTATATATATCTTTCTCTATCCTCTCTCTCTTTCTCTCTTCTCTCTCTCTCTATCCTCTCTCTCGCGTCGCTCGCTCTCACTCGGTCTCTCTCTCCCCGCCAATATTTATCTTCACGCACGCCGCACGCACGCACGCACACACCAGCGCGCACACACACACACACTACACACAACTCCCTCTCTCTCTCTTCTCTCACACACACTCCTCTCGCTCTCCAATATTCTCTTCACCACGCAATCACGCCGTACACACACAGCACTCTCTCTCTCTCCGCGCGCGCTCTCTCTCTCTTGTGTTATCTCTCTCTCTGCACTTTGTTTCTCTTCTTCTCGCGGCGCCGTATATACTCATATCGCGCGTGATATATAATATATAATATATATATATATAGATATATATAATATATAGAGAGAGAGAGAGAAGAGTGAGAGCACGAGAGAGAGGAGAGATAAGAGACAGTGTCACGCACCCGACGCCTTCACAATCCTATTTTTAATTTGAGAAGAGAGACTGGAGAAGAGAGCGAGATATATATATATATACTATATACTATATTATTCGCATTTTCGTTCATTTCCTTCTCTTTCCTTACTCCCTCTCCGCGGATAGATCGTCACGCCATCAGTCGCACGTGTGAAAAGTGTCGCCAGCCACAATGCCGCTATGTCAGCCCGGAAACCTTTTCACCCTCGAGTGCACAAAAAATGTGAATTGTACGCCTATAATACACGCTCAGGAACTCGTGACATCCGTCGACATACCGCGTTTGGTGCGCGTCCGTTAGTGGTTGTTGTATGTTGTTAGGCGTTGACTGCTAAAAAAGCTCCGGTCCATATATAGCTGTATAATCAGGTATTTGTGTTTTTTTTTTTGGGGGGGGCGTTTTGAAAAATTGGGCTGAAACGCCATTTGCCTGGCTACTTTTCACGATCGGTGCAACGACACGGTGCAGGCGATTACCATTTGGAGAGGGGATCACAGTATTCCCAAGCTAGAATATAACCTGATAGGCATGTAGATGTAAAGTACCATATAAATGATAGACAATATAGATATAGATGGATAGAAATAGATAGCATGCCAGATATTGAATGAAACGGTAATATTGGTATTTTCTTGGTTTTTCGTGGTGATTCTATACGGTACATTAATTACTGCTATATGCCCTGCATAATGGTTGAATTCTACGATTTTCCGACACAGTCGCAACATCCAGGTGAACGGAAATTCCCGTGTAATGGCAGAAGACATACGTCTCAAGTACGTGAAATTATCATCAAGTATAATATCTTTGTTCCAAACCATATCTGCAAACACACCTAACGCGAAATATCGACTGACATATTTCCCCACCCTATTCTCGTAGTGCGTGCATGGACACCACAAAACAAATGTGAGATTATAACCGGGGACATTTTCAGCGCTGTTATAGACTTTGAAGATATATAATTTAAACGGCACCCCTGGTCGTGAGATACTGCACATGGGGCATTTCCGTAAACTTTATTTTAAGACACCGTGAGATAATTAGATTTCTGGAAACAACGAACATACTCAACCCGTGAGAGAGGAGAGAGAACGCGTACACGATTAGGAATGTCTAGATGCAGCCATTATTGTCTGCAATCCAACGGTGAACTAGTGAACGGTATTGCTTCATAGCACGACACTGCTAATATTATTATTAGCAAAAATAGTTAACCGTGCCTGCTTTTATACACCCACTGGTAACAAAAATAGGTGTTTGTGTGTTTATTATTCAATCTTACCAAGCACAAGCAAATGCCGAGAATTGGCCCTCAAGTGTTCAAGGCGCTAGCACGTTATAAGTTATGTGTGGTAGGTATATATAGATATTATAATATATATATAATATATATATATATATCAGCAGTGCATTCTTGCTGTATGTATTTCCCGATTTTTTATTCGTTCCGCGGTTTCGCCCGGCGAGAGAAAAACTGTATTTAGTCTCCACAGGCGACAGTCACGCGATTCATTCGCCATTTATCGCTTAACATCTCTCGGTCAGTATTTTACTGCGCGTTCGCTTGCTTGAGCCAACGCACAGTACCAGGAAGTCCAGCGAAACGAATAGCGGAACATGGCCCCGCCTCTTTATTCGCTTGCTCGAACAACGTAAGCTGACGAAGTTCCAGTGAAACGAAGCGAACATAACCACAAGTCCAATGTTGCTGCTCCCTCTATATACCCTAATAACCCCGCCTGATATATAATTCGATTTCATATCTTAACCCACACTTGATATCTAATTCGTATCGATCACCCCCCCTCCACTTGATCAATCTATTTCATATTCTAACCCCCCCCCTGATATCTAATGCATTGATCCACCCCCCTTTATATCTCTTTTAATATCACGACATTAATGACATTAAAGTTGACACGAGAGCCGCAAGCTAGCACGGTAGACAATGTCGCGCAGGTCACAATGAACAAACGTATCCCCGTTACGCGCCATTAAAGTACGCCCGTATGCAAATTACTACATCGTGAATTAATCGCATGAAGTGCTGGTTAATAGTTGGGTCGAACGTGCACGCACGAATGGCACTTAACATGATTAGACACATTTTTTAACATTGAAGCGATTCGTTTCTTTGCATACTTCGTATTAGCCACACGGTGCCATCTGATAAAAACGTACTATACGCTAAATGCTTATAAATATCGTAGTGATGAAGACTTCCTTTATTGTTTATATTTAATGAGTCACTCTCGTTGAAGTTTGTGTTTTTTGTCAAAACGTTTTCCTTCACTGTAACATGACTGTAGTTATAGCTGGGTACATGACCTGTGGCCTGTAGGAATATAGACAATCACATATATAAGATTAGAAATAAACTTCAAGATTAAAAAAACTGCTTCGGATTTTGTAATTACGTTCTATTACCAGCCGGCGTACGAATTCCAGAACAAATATGTTTCTCTATACGATAAAACGTTTTACCTCTTGGTTTTACTAATTCACCCGTTGATTCGCGTTCAAGGGTATAGACAAGGGCGTAGGCATGGATCCGTTAGGTGAAACTAACTGTCTGACGCATGATGTCCCTATCAACCCAGCATGTAATAATCAATCAACAGTCTCGTGTCTCTAATAATCAACCCTGCAGAAGGTTGCACGCGTTCTCGCTTTAACCGGATGATGGTCTGCACACGACGCTGTCTCACTACGGCTCGTAGGGTCTATGTTACCCTGACCTCTGTTTGACCTGGCTCGTTTAGCTATTTCTGACTAACCCTAACCCTAACCCTATATATATATATATATATATTAGTCAGAAATAGCTAAACGAGCCAGGTCAAACAGAGGTCAAGGGGACATAGACCTTATCTGCCTCACGACGTTAACTTCACAAACAAACATAAACATCACAAATCGTGGCGGCCATCAATTACTAAAAAGAGTGTGTATACTGGATGATAGCACCACTCAGGAGACAATAAATTATTGGATATTATCTCACGGCAAGTCTACGTACGACAGTCAGACTGACACGCAGAAGTGTAAACACAAAAGCCAATGTACAAATTTATATCACTTTTATTTGCCATTCAAACTTTGCACTACATTACTGCAGTAAATCGTCCGGTATTACAGCCACTTTATATTAACTATATGTTTCATTTGGTACATAGTATAACAACAACTTGACCACACTACACACTATGCTACATTAGGAAAGCGGGTAATACAGTATTAGCAGCAGGCACTGCACACGAACCTAGCGATTTCTCTGCTCAAGCAACACTATTACTAGCGCTCATAGGGTCTATGTCCCCCAGGGTACTATCGGAGGGTACCCTGGGTACGGTTCGATATATCGGAACGTACCCTGGTAACTATCTGATATGGTTAGGGTTAGGGTTAGGGTTAGGGTTAGGGAGTAGGCGTAGGCGACTCGCTAGACTCGTTAGTGGAGTAGGCAAGGTACGGTCCGGCATATTAGATAGTACCAGGGTACGTTCCGATATATATCGAACCGTACCCAGGGTACCCTCCGATAGTACCCTGGGGGACATAGACCCTCTCAGCATTACTAGCTGTTGTCAGCAGTACCAACGGAATACGTAATCGTGCACCTATAGGTACACATATATGAATACATGCCCGTGTACCAAAACGAAGACTCCTTCTAATCCAACTACTCTAGAATGACAGCGTACGTTAACGATTGCAAGTTCTAATATAGTTTCCAGATTTCTAAAGATATTTTTAGGCCGGATCGTGTGTATAGAGATTTTGGTTGTGTCACACAAAGGTTAGCGTCAACAGTGACACCGGTGTTTTTCACGACAAGGTTTAACACACTGGCCACGAGACGTCTAGCACGTGTAGGCCAATATTGGAAACGGTACATTAGTGCGTTTCACTCAAACACAAGGACACTGCCATGTCGCTATAATTTCGCTACATTAGGAAACGCGACAGCATGGTAGTGGTATGATTATCCTATCGTTGTTTTATGATTGAATTAAGAACGAGCATTTGTTGAAAACGGATGATCAAAAAATCTTATTATTACATGCCTGAGCAACTCTCTAAAACAGATCGCAGACAGTCAACCCTATGCTCTCTATTTATTAAAACGAGATCTAGAGACAGCAGACGTACATGTTACTGCACCTGAAAGGGTCTATGTCTCCCTGGGTACTGCCGGAACGTACCCTGGGTACGGTCCGGTATACCGGAACGTACCCTGGTAACTATCTGATATGGTTAGGGTTAAGGTTAGGGTTAGGGTTAGGGTTAGGGTTAAGGAGTAGGCGACTCCCTAGAATCGTTAGTGGAGTAGGCGAGGTACGTTCCGGCATATTAGATAGTACCAGGGTACGTTCCGGCAGTACCCAGGGAGACATAGACCCGACGGGCGTTACTGCATCGGGGTGTGCAATGGCTGCCGTACATACGTCATTGTTACTGCATCGGGGTGTGCAATGGCTGCCGTACATACGTCATTGTTACTGCATCGGGGTGTGCAATGACTGCTGCACATACGTCATTGTTACTGCATCGGGGTGTGCAATGACTGCTGCACATACGTCATTGTTACTGCATCGGGGTGTGCAATGGCTGCTGCACAGACGATGCGACACAGCTACTACCTCTACGATTACTACCTTGATTACATACTGCCACCGCGCCACGAGCTCGGGCTGTTATAACACCCACCATCTTGTATTACCTTGCCTATTCGCGGGCGTCTCATCTGTCTTAACCTATATCTACATGCTATATAAACTTCTTGGCTGTCAGCCGATTGTGTTGGCCATACCATTTTACTAGTTTACCTCAACCTGGGCTCAAATGGGCAACGTGCCGTGAGGACACTTACGTTTGGGTTGTATTGGGGGGAGAGGGGTAGTCAACTGTGGGATGAAATCTGGATAAATTTTCACGGTATGGGTGGTATTTAAATGATCGTTAAGGCAAAACCTGATAGCGTTTCACCACTATTAGGCTATCAATTTACAAAAGCGTTCGTCTTTTACGCGTATTCTAAAACCATCACACACCCATTTCCCAATATCATATCACACACCCAACTGCACTGCTTAGATACAAAACACCAGCGCAGTAGTCATCAATGCTACATGAACTCAACAGTTTTAAACATCATACAAAATCGGCACTGTCTCACAAAGACGGTGCATGTTATGTTTATACACCAAGTGCCCCCTTACACAATTTTATCTAATATTTTCATAACGTTAAGTTATGTTTGTTATTTTTGCTAATTGTACTGTACATGTGCTCTTATATAATAATGTTACCTACACTAATGCAGCGCACAAACCACAATATCATGTGTGTTACATTCCCTATTACTAATACTACTGTTACTATCAACTACCACCAAACAATTATGGCCCGTCGGCCACCACGGAACAAACACACGCACGTACACGCACACACCCCCTGTCATACACACAATGGACAATTTGTCAACAGCATCACAAGTTCATGAACGTTTCACATACAACTGAATTGATGTGTAATTCACGTTGCGCAAGTAATATTTCATACAAACAGTAAATCAATTGCTAGCAAACACCCGGAGTCACTAACATACCCATAGACCACAGCATGCTCGTGTTAACACATTTCTCATGCTATTTTCATGGAGGAAACCGGAGCCAGTTATGTGTTCCAACAAATGGTCCCCACGCATAAGGCTGAACATAACTGTTAGCCATGGTAGTAAATTAAGTTGGCCAAAAAGAAACATCAGTAATCACTGACCTCTGTATCAAACTCTACGTGAACGGTGTCTATTCCAGTGTGCAGTACTGTAATATAATTGAAATTGTTCTCAGTAAGAAAATACCATAGCCGAACTGTTAAAAACCCCTGGAGAAACTTAAAACGGTTATCAAAAAATAAGAAAAAACTGGTGCCATGCGATAGATGTCTCTGTGTGCCTATTCCTGACACCAATACACTGTAAATTCAGAGCAAAAGCAACACGACATCACTAGTGTGTAATACCAAAAATAGATATCGACTAGTCTTCCGCATCGCTGGTGAAATTTCAGTGGACTTCACTTGTGTCGGTGGGCTTATTGGGAGCAGTGTGCGAACGTTATTTATTGCAGGTGCATGAATGGCTGCGGCAAGAGAGACTACATGACGAAATGCAGCGACAGTCGCGGAAAGCAATTAACAGGAGCTCGGCGGGAACTGATCGATCTCGAAAACACAAGCTGAGATTAGATCGAAGTAACCAAAAAGCATGCTACGCACGAGCGTCGCACACAGCGCACCTGCTGGAACGAAATCAACGTGATACGAAGACGCACCTGGATGCCGATGTTAGGTATGTCGGCAATGTCGACTTTTTGTTTTACATCTAGATGACAGTCTCTGCGCCTCGCCCTTGGTTTCGTCACCGTACCGCAACAAGCAAGCATAAAACACGCTGCTGAACGATGCGAGCGACAGAGCGGTAGAGGTGCAATACGACCACTATGCTTTCATTCATGTATACAGCAGGTTGACGGATGGTGCTCATCGTGATGAGGACAACTGCAGTGGCGTAGAACAGACTCCCACAGCACGATGACAGCTGTTACAGCACGATGACAGCTGTTACAACACGATGACAGCTGTTACAGCATGATAACACATGTTACAGAACGATGACAGCTGTTACAGCATGATAACACCAGTTACAAAACGATGACAACTGTTACAGCACTATGAAAGCTGTTACAGCACGATGACAGCTGTTACAGCACGATGACACCTGTTACAGCACGACGAAAGCTGTTACAACACGATGGCAGCTGAAACTTACATCAGTTATCATAGGCATATCAGGTTTACATTGTAGACAGTTTTCTTATACTTATTTGATAGTTGTCACACTTTCGGTAAATTCTGAGCCGCGTGAATTGTGCATACACGAAAATTGCCGAGACAATCAGATAAAAACTATTTGTAAGCGAATGTGGCCTATTGCCGTTGGAAGACATAGACCCTTGTCCCCCAGATAAGAAAGAGAAAATCTGGTTAAACCAGATTATTCATCGGCCAAGAGGCAATATTTTTTTTTTTTAAATCGATTCCAAATTTTTCCATCCAATTCTCATTATGCTCATAACTGAAGAAAATGCGTGTTGAGTGAGAACATGAATATCCGTACAGTTTCAGGAATGGCTCGTTTATCAACTAGTATCACCCGTGGCTGGGAATGAAGCTCATAGATTGCATAACGAAACACACTAAACAGGAATGATGAAACCGAACGCGTTTGCTTTGCAAAAATGACAGCTACTTCCCGAGTGGAACTCTACGAATCTAGGAAACCAACTATTTAAGTGTTTATCAAACAGCCCGCATAGTAGGCCTGGATTCGTTTGATGAATAAGCACATACCATAAACCTGAAAAATGTTGCGTGAGAACAATTCCCAAGGCGTTCAAAAATGGATATAACGTTTCTAAACATTTTTATATGCTTTACATCAACAGAAACATATGAAAAATTCTCCTCGATAATCCAACAGTTCAATATAGTATAAAAATGAAAAAAATCCTCATCGTAACTATTTTCAGGTTTGCAGCGTCTGACGTGGGTTGTCTGTACAAATTTCTGCAAAACGATCAACATCAAAAACACATTGTTTCAGCTAGATATTTTATATCAATCCATCTGTACAATATTGGTGACTAACTACGTCAACAACTCAAACTAACCTAGAGCTTAAATGAGAGCAGCCATTTTACCATTGATCACTCTCACTCGAGCATATTACACTGCCCTTCACAGAGGGCGCGGACACCAAGGACGCGCCGGTGCCCAGGACCATGATGGCTGACAGTCGTTCACCCGGCAGTCTGATGTTGCCCCCCAACTATACAGATGACACGAGATTACTTCTGTCTAGAATTTGTGACACGAGCGAAGATCCCAGTCGGACCTTTTATGTGCGATTGTAACAAAAAGAGAAATGTTGAGTACATACTGGCGACTGGGAGTTCGAATCTATTTTGGGATTGAAGCACGGCACTTAATAACAGCCCTATTCATGAATCTGAGGAACATGGCCCTTTAGACAGCTCTATAGTTGGTGATACAATAACCCACCGAAATCTCATGGCCATGAGTATAGGGGAGACAACATACGGACTGATTGGTGAATCGCCTGACCGACTACAACGCCTAATATTTTCCCCTGAGCGACCTCTCTCGGTCTCTCCTTCTGGACGCAGTGGCTTCCTTCCTTCTCCAAGTGCGGAAGCACACATCCGCCCAGCTTTGCGTGCGCACGGCAGCTCACTGTGCCTGGAACTGTTGCATAGGGTATCCGCTGACCATGCCGGGCTGGGTCGCCGCCGATGTCGGGGTGCCGTTGAAGGCCGCTGCGGGCTGCACGCCCTGAATGCTCGGCTGCCAGCCCACCTGCATGCCAGGTACCCTGCAAAGCAACACCATCGATAATCAGAGCATGAGCGTGTGCAGACAGCGTGAGATTTTGATGAGTCACGTCTCTTGGCGACGTTAGACACACATCAGCGCAGCCCACCGGCGTTGTGCGATCTCGAGAAGTAATTGTATAGAGAAGCTCATCTGATTAGGTTATACAGGGATGACTATAGGTACACAGAAGCCCTTCCCGCTTTGCATGCACTGGTGCTGCCATGTTAAACTGATGAGTTGGTCACCAGGCAGTGGGGTTGCTTGGTGCGCGGACAAGTCCATCAGGGAAATGCGGAGAACTCTCCTCGGACGCTCTCATCATATTGGCTAAACGGTTCAGGAATTACAAGTGACACCTCTGAACACGAACACACATACACAGACACACACGCACGCACGCGCACGCGCACATAAACACACACAAACACGTGCCCACACACACGCGCATACACAGACACGAACACATGCCCACACACACGCGCGCACGCACACACGAACACACACACACACACACACACACACACACACACACACACACACACACACACACACACACACACCACACACGCGCG